GTTCTGGCGCTCCTCGGGGACATCTGCCTGTCGGTCACCGTTCCAGCGGCGCTTGAGACGCAGCTTCGGAGGCATCAGGGCATCCTCCCTCTTCTCTTGCGCTCCCGAGTCTCCGGCAGGCTCTCGGGATGACTTCTCCCCGCTGCTCTCTCCTTGCTCCTGGGATTCTTCGGCCAAGAAGCCGGCCTGGCTGGGTGCCGGTGGGGCTGGGTGCCATGATGGGGCAGCTGGTCTGGCAAACACAGGCCCTTTCTCCTCTTCCAGGCTGGCTGCCACGCCAGAGCCTTCCTCTCTCTCACTTTTGTCTTTTCCTTTCGCCGGCAGCTCTTCGGACTCTGCCTCCTTCTCCATCGCGGGCTCGACCTTGACCCTGGGAGGAGGAGTAGCTAGCTGGGGGGCCGCCGGCTCCTCAGCGCTTTCCAGTCTCTCTCTGTTTTTGCGCCCCACGGGTGGGGGCTGTAGCTTGATGGGGAACTGGGGCTGCTCCTCGAGGGGCATTTGGCACTGTAGTGGTGGCACCATGAGCGGATAGCGGGGGAAAGTCCGCGGACTCAGGTGGTAGTTGAAGACGGAGCAGGCTTGCGAATGCAGGTAGTGTTTCATTTCCTCGGGGTTAAAAGAGAAGCAGCTGCTACCTGTGAAGGGGCTGAGGCCCGGAGAGGGGCTGTAGGAGAAAAGGGTGGGAGTCAGGGACAACGCAGGAGAGATCGGGACATTTAGGACCCCGCCGCGCCCCGGCAGAGGGGACACGGCAAAGGGGCTGTGAGGATCCGGGTAGATCCCGGGCCTGGTGAAGAGAGGGAGCATAATATCGGGCTTGCGCTTCTGGTGGTTGACGCTACCAGCGCCCACGGCGTTGCGCGAGGCCATGAGATCCACGCCACGGCGCCAATCCGAGGAGCCGTCCTCCAGCTCCGGCATGTCCGGCTTCCTCTCGCCGCCGTCACCCAACGCTTCTGGGTTGGATGGGACCAGGGACCCACCGGAGAACCGACTGGGCTGGGCATCGTCGGTGGGAGAGTGGCTGTCCAGCGGTGGGAAATGGAAGCGGGACGAAGCCGTGGGGACAGGAGGAGCGCTCTGCGGCACAACACCTGGGACAGGGAGGGGAAAGGAGAGAGAGTACGGGAGAGAGTTAAAAGCACAGTTGCTGAGGGAGTTAAATCACAGGTAAAGAGCTGCTTTTCGGGCTGCACCCGCAGGCGTTTGGAAGACTAACACAAAAACACCATGTGCTATCAACAACGCAGCAGACGATTAGATGGGAGGTGCCTTTCCCATCTGCTCCCTTCCCCGGCATAGCTCCAGACTCCTCTGCCCACCTCAAAACCTCGCCACTGCTGGGGAGGAATCTTCTCCTCTCTCCGCCCCGGCTGAGGTTTCGTGAACCTCCAGTGCCACTGCAGTAACTTCCACTTTCGGACGCCCTCCCCTGACCTCCTCGCTCTGGTTTAACCAGAAAACGTCTCGGCGACGGCGCGTTAGGAGCACGGTTAAGCAATCGCGCTCGCACGCCACCGGCAGAAGCGCTGCTGGTAAACCTCAAGCTCTCGGGGCTGACTGAAAGTCACTGATTTGTGCTTTTCTGGGAAGACGTCTTCTCGCCAACGGTTCTGCCAGTAACGCTGCCAGCTCTCGCTGGCTCCTCTTCCACCGCCGTGCCTACGGAGCCGCCCGTCTACGACTCACTCGTGCCGTAACAAGCCATATTGAGGCAAATTCTTCCACCTGCTTTCTCACCTCTGCAACGCGCCCGTCGATTCTCCCTTCCCTTCAAAACCGCGCGAGTGAGAGAAGAAACCTGATTCCAGTGCCCCAAACAGGTCTGATATCCCAACCCCCATCCCAGCCAGAAGGAAAGAAAACAGGTTGTAATTAGACAAGTGCATTCCAGTTCTCCAAACTTCTTTTTTTAAATGCATGCCCCAGAGATAGGAGGGAGTGGCTGCAAACAGGGAAAAGGAACAGCAGTGAGCAATATTGAGCTGGAACTGCCCAGACTCGTTGCTGCAAGTAATTATAGATTTGCAGCGCAGCTTCATACTACATCTTACACCCCCATGCTTTGGCTAAGGACTCCTGGAGAATACATTTCCTTCTCCCCACTGCCATAAAGGCAGCGTGTCCCACGCAGGTGAAGAACGCCTTTATGAATATTTCTACTCTCCCGGCCCTGTTTTGGGGTTACTGTTTGCTTAGAAGACAATGCCTTGAAATCACATTTGCGCTCGCGCCCGGCTGGGACTCCCCAGGGGCGGGGAGGGATGGAGGTCGCCTCAACTGCCAAGATCAACGAGCAGTCACCACCGTACGTAGGCACAGGCTACACGAGCGCCGATGAGAAATACTCTTGCCCACACGTAACCTGTTTTTCTCAGCCGCCGGGGTTTCAGAGTCAACATTCAATCCCCACTTTCCCCTGCTCTCTCCCTGCTAGACGAATCTTCAAGGCTCCCCCTGGGGCACTCTTCACGAGGTGAGAACTAAGCACACAGTGCTGTGAGAAAGGCTGGTTCAGGCGCCTCGGCGCTCGCGCTTTCTTTGCTGTGGAGAGTTTGCAGTCTCGGGCCTCGCTGTAATGACTTCCAGAAGGGTTTTTTTTGATGGACTTGATGGCCACTAATTTCCCTGGTTGTGTGGTGGCTGTGCAGTTATGCAGGCAATCACCCCGGCTGTAGAAATCTAGCTATGGGGTGTGTGGGGGGGGAATAACTCCAGCAAAAAGGGATCTTGCAAACAAAGGACCCTCTTCCAGAGAAACCACAGCAGTACTGCTGACTCTGGGACAAACCCAGAGTGAAGTCCTGCTACAGCTCCTGGCAAGACACTCAAAGGCCTTTTAGGATGAGCAGGGAACAATTACGCTCCATTCCCAAACTCTTTTTCGTTCTCCTGAATGTCAGCACACCGTTCTGCCCCAGGGAGAATCGAGAAATACCTGTGATTTTAGTCAAACTCCGACGAGTTACTACTCTTCTCTAGAAACTGCCCTGCGCTCACTGTTACGTTCCTCTGAACTCTAGGTAGAAGTCGGTTAAGAAAAGTTCCTTTTCACAGAAAAGGAGCAGAACTAAAGCAAACAAGGGGCCTTTGCAGAAGCAGGGAGGAGAGCAAACTGCTGTTAAGCTGCGAACTTTCTGATAGCGCTCACATGCATGCCTCGCCATGCACCTTTAAGCTCCTTGTCACGAAGGGTCACATTTATATGGCCCCATAAACTTACGTTACAAGCATGTGAGTGAGGCAAGGTCCCTGCAACAGAACTAAAACCTTCTTATCCCCAAGGACACCCGCCCCCCGACAGCAAAGCAAAGCAAAGCAAACCCGCGGCACCCATAAAGACAGTCCAACAAGCAAGCTCAAATAGGAAACCAAAACGCCTCCAGTCTCCCCTGAAGACGACCACAGATGCGTCTGGGACAACCCCGGGGGAAAGAGCGCTCCAGATAAGGCTTTATCAACGTCCAGACATTCCCACCGCAGCAGCGCTGATTGCCCCGGCAGTCTTTCAAGCGTAGGAGATGACTGATAGGGGATCCGCAGAGGCTGCGGGGTCGGACCCGGCCCCGTTCCCCACGCCAGGAGCGGGGACAGTTGAAAGCAGCAGCCCCGACCCCCTACTCACCATTAGGCCGAATGTTAATGAACGGGTAGTTGGGCATCACCAGCTTGTTGAAGTTGAACTTGTAGGTAAACCTTTTGCCTTTTGTCTTGTGGAGAATCCTCTTGTTGTAATAGTATCTGTTAACAAAAGTTAGAGAGAGCGATCAAAGCATGTGGTGATATGTTTAAGGGTCTCATTTCTTTTAACGCCATCAACATTCACCTCGGACGGATCTACAAAAGTGAAGTTGCCCAGAGAATTTATGTTATTAGTACAAGAAAATATTAGTCGATTGGGAAGTTTCCAAGTGACACCCATTCCTTTTACAACACATTCTTTAGCAGCAGGTTTCAAACCATTTTCCAGGTCATTATGTTCCTTAGAACATGTGGGAAAAGGTGAGATCCTGAAAGGAAGCGGAAGCTGAACGACAGGCCAAGCCTGTACACGCTGTTCTCACCCCTGTCCAAACTGGGACCAGTGCCAATGGGCTGGGGGGTCTCCTACAAGCACCCCACACGGCGCTGGCACTACCCCCCTATTCCCATCCGCACAAGTGCCCCGCAGCCAGCAAAACAAGCACGGTCACTCCACGTGGGCTGTGACTGCCAGGGCAACGTTACAGAAGTCCGAACAGGAGGGGAAAATTTGGGTGAACCTGTGCTACGACACAGGAAAGAGGGGAACATGTACCTGGGCTGGGGCAGAACGAAACTCAGCGCAAGGAGGGAGCTGAGCAACAGGCACCAAACTATCCAGAGAGTCTCAGATTTGTTTTTTATTTCTGCAATCTGCATGGCTTATTGTAACAGCGTACAGGGCATCAGGCTGGAAATCGGGAGAGCTGGTTTCTGCTGCTCTCATGCCCATGAGCAAGTCGCTTCCCTTCTGTTCACCCATTCACACCTTCGGATTAAAAACACCCCCTCGTCTTCGCAACGTTGACCGGGGCTGTGAAGGGCAGGCACTCAGAGCCAGCCCCTATCGCCGGCCAGCCTCCCTGCCTCACCTTCATGGCACCAAATGACAGCAGGAGGACTTGGCCACACAGACAGCGGGTATAATCCCCACCGCAGCCTCCTCCCCACTTACACCACCGCTGTTTGTCCTCAGCCTCCTAATACTGCTGTACAAACAAAGGTGTTACACGCCGATCATCGCCACAGCTCTCTGTTGTCAGGAGGCGGGTTAACACTCGCTGCCTGTTGCCACAGCGCGCACCAAACAAAGCGGGGCTAGCTCCGAGCAGGAGCGGGGAAGGAGCCACAGGTCCCGAGCCGAAGCGGCTGCCGATACCCACAGTGGTCTTGCCCCGCTGCTGTCATGCTCGGCACCAAGATGCCGAGACGTGATCGGTGTTGGCAGGTGGAGGCTATTTTCCACTGCCATGCACCAATTACAGCCTCGGTGCCATTCGATTTATTGTTTCCTTCCTGTTCCAGTATGAGACTCTTGTGTTTGCTGCCTTGTTTGTCTTTGTCAGCTCCACCCAGGAGGTATCAGAGGGCGTAACGCAGCGAAGTCCACGTTACAGACTGATAATGCCAGAACCTGTCAGGAACCCAGCCACTCCTGCAGGTGACAGGCCTTGAAATGCTGAAATACTTCAGAGGGTCATGCTAGTTTTCCACTGTCTGACTTCAAAACTGAAAAAAAATACCAAACCCCATCCCTATGGAAGGGTGTAAATAAAAAAGGGCAAAGTTGTACTGGAAGCTTTGGAGTCGTGAAGCACAAAGTGAGGAACGCTCAGCCCCTGGCTCACACAAGGGGACGTTGGTGGCCAGAGGTGTCCCTAAGGGTAGCCAAATGTGTGTCATCGGGGCTCGGGAAACACCCGGTCCAGGCCCTTGCCGTGGGACTGACACCGAACCTCTGCCTCGGATGCATTTAGCAGTAAAGAGGCAAGTACAAATTATGTTAGAAAGGGGAGTTGCTTTCTCTGAAACGGTACCCTTGATGGTGTGATAATAGAGGAACACCTCTGGTTTCCTCCCACACCTTCATTGCTCAAGCCAGCAGCAGCAATGGAAGCTGAGAAAAGAGACAGAAAAGCTCCCCGGAAGAAAGCCATCCTGATAGTAACAACCTAAACTAGAGGTGTAAATTTACACCGTGAGGCAGAATGCGGCCCGGTGAACCAGAGACTCCCTCCCCGGTCTCTCTAATCACACCCAAGTACAGTCAGACCTACCTGAGCAATCTGGCATCCCAGAACTGAAAATCTGATACAAACCTCCCAGAAAGGCAGGTGCCACCAAACCAGGGACTGAATATCTACCATCAGTTACCCAAATGAGGCAGGGACGGGTGGAAGGAGGGCTCCGAGCAGCCCCTCGCCTCCACGGAAACTTCTGCTCACCTGAGCGCCCGGCTCAGCTTGTCGTAGTTCATCTGGGGTTTGCATTTCCTCCGACCCCACAGCCGGGCCACTTCGTCGGGGTCCTTGATGACGAACTCCCCATACTCGCCCTGCTGCCAGGCGATGACATGGCGAAACTCCTCCTTCTGCAGCAGCTCCAGGATGAAATGCCATAACTGGATCTGCCGGGAGCCAGGGCTGGACTCGGTCTTGTAAGCCCACTCTGGGAAATGATAACCTTGGAAAGGGCCAAAAAAAAAGAAAAAGAAAAAAAGAATCATTCAGACAGCGATAGGAGCTCACAACTGCCAAGCTCTACTGTGTATTTATCATGTTTTCTCCAGAGCAAGACCACAGAGCATCGCTGAGGGCTGTAATTCTATTAAACATTCAGTGTGGAAGCAGAGAAACCCGGCTCTCCTCCTCTACTGCTCATTTTCTTACTCATTTTAGCCCCCTCTCCTTGGAGAATCCCCAAACACCACAAGAAAATGGTAAAACTGAAAAGGACATAAGCGTGAGAAGCAGTGGAAAGGAGCCCAAAAGCGTTAGCATCACTACAATTTGGACTCCAGGTGGCTGAAATAAGGCGAATAATCCGGATTTGAGCATTTGGTGCGCTGATGTTGGGGAGGGGGTGAGGGCGGGTAGTGCTCAGCAACTCCAGCTCCCCCTTATTTCAGAGCACGGCAGCCTGCTCCAGCTTCAACTGCGCCGGCAGATGTTTCTGAGCGACTGCCAAGTTTGGCTTTCTCGGAATAGTTTCCCAGCACAACTACTAACGCGAGGTTTTTTTTTTTGTTTGTGTGTTGTTTTTTTTTTTTTCTTTTTTTTTTCTTCCCCCCCAAATCATCGCGGCCACAATTTTCAGGCTCCGGCAGCGGGGAAGAATTCACATCATGCTCCAATGCCACCCACACCGCTATCGCAGGCGGCGACAGAGACAAAACCAGGCACGAGCTGTACCCGACCGGAGGAGATCCACCTTAGAGATCCCAAATCCTTACAAATAAAACACCTCCAGGGAGATTTATTTGCATATTAAACCCGGAGCTCTCAAAAACTCGCCCATCGAGCAGACGTCTGATCGATCCTCACTCGCACGCGGCTTTTGCCCACATACGGGAGCTTTGGGGAGAGGTGGAATTAATCCCGCCTGAGCTCCTTTATCCTGGGAAAAGAATTTGTAACAGCTGAACAACTCGGCCTTTAGACTTCCTTACCTCCTCCTCCTTCTGGCTTATCCACAATGCTGCAGCCTGCTTTCATTTTCTCCCTCCTGCTGACTGCAAAACAGAAGGAAATCGGGCATCAGCGACATCAACACGCCATTATCGCAGGAGGCACTTGGAATTTCTCCGGAGAGGCCACCTCGAGCAGTAACCCTGCCCGTCCCCAGAGACGCTACCCGGGCTCTCCCTGAGCATAATCATCCCCGTCCGTCTTTCCACCCAGCTGCTAAAAGCCGGCGTTTAATCCCTGCCTCCCTCCTGCCCCGCCGTTAAAGCCGGCAAACGAAACGCGGCGGCACGGCGCGGCCGTCAGACAGACAAAACAAGCCAAACACAGTTTGTCTTCTGTTACTAGACAGGCTCCGCTGCCAAAATACACAAGCTGCTGAGCTCGCCCAGATGTACCAGCGAGGGAAAAGGGAGGGGGATAAAATCCCGGCTCCCGATCGCCGTCAGAGACG